TACTGATGTGTTCTTAGTTTTGTGTCTATGTATATCATCAAATAATTCATGTGCAAAAAGATCATAAGTTAGAAAGCCATTCATGTAGTATTTTTTGTTCCACTTAAAATACTACCATTTATCAGTTTTGAGTAAAAAAGAATGAATGTAACTGCAAAAAAACATATTTAAACACTAATAACTATTCATGGTAAAATAAGTATAACAGAATAAAAATAATACAATTTCTTGGTACCCACATTATCTCCCCACCCCTTCCAAATAAGAATAAACACAGAGTAAGCCAAACTTAAAACCTTTTCTTCTGATCATCGAAAGCAGTAAGCATATGTATAATACAAATGCATAGGACCAATAACAAAAACTAATGTTAAACCATCTCTTCCCCAGCAAAAAAAAAATGTATTGCTAACGAATTGTATGTGATACTAAAAAATGCTTTGTTCTTGAAAAGAAATGATCTTCTAAAGAACCTTGAATATTTATTTATTGTTCAGTATGAAGTAAAACACCATGTAACAACCATAATAATTTCAATTAACCTTGGTACTAAACCACAGCCATTTCAAACTTCCTTACAGATCATACTAACAGTCTTACACTTTTTACTAAGTATCTACTAATATTATTCTGGCAATTTTATAAATAGGTAAGACTGGATATTGCTAAAACTGTTTTTTCTGTTTACAAATTCATAACAAGCTTGCTGTTTGGCAAGTCTCCCAACCCATAGCTTTTTTTAAAACCCTAGTACAATGTATTCTCTAAAATTCAATATTACTTCCTATTTCAAAATAATTTTAAATTTATGGCTTATAAAATACAATAAAAAGGACTCATTGTATAAGGAAATGACTGTTTCTACTCTATTGAACTGCTTTATATTCTTGCTTTTTAAAGATGGGTTTTGCAGCAAGAAAATGAATTTCAATATAGCATGATCCCACTATACATGAATTCTAACAGTTTAGTTTTGTGTTACATATCAGTGAAATGGTCTAAAATACATGATTTAATATGTCAAACCCTTACATTGTGTAATCATCACATTTTGTACACTTCTCCACAACATACCTAATATTCCTACAAGATTCACATTTAGTTAAATAAAATTAGAATTTACTTATGCTTGCTAAGTCTGTCAAAATGGGGAATTACCAAAACCATTTCCAAGGTTTAACAATGGACTATTTTGCCCCATCTAGCATAAAAGTCATGCCCAGTGGCAATGTTTGTAGGTGGGGCATAGGACATGATTTTTACATTAATAATGTTAATTACTACAAAGGAATTCTAGTCAGCATAAAAATCATGTCCAGTGGCAATGTTTATAAGTGAAACATTGACATGATTTTTACATTAATAATGTTAATTACTATAAAAGTTAAAACACATTGAAACCAGTACTTCGTCACATAAGATACTAAATTTAAGTAAAAAACAAATGAGAAGCCCAAACAATCATTCAATTTACCATTTATCACTGAATTATACCAGTTTTGAGGAATTCCAACTCTCATCATTAACCTTGAACATGACAAATCGAAAGAATTAGAATATATATTAAGTATAGGATCACTGTATCATGTATGAATAAAAAGCATTTTGAAACACCACACACATTACTTTAGAAACAACATTAACAAGTATACCTGATTTTAAATTTAATACTAATAGAGCTCTATAAATTTAATTTGTTATGCTTTGGTAAGATTCATAAGTTGAACTTACTTTTTTATTTTTCTCTCGTGAATTACACATCATAAAAATGACATGACTGCGATCGTTCAAATTTCAAATCCAATAACGAATTAGTGCGCAAGTAGGCCTACCGAGTTCGTAGTTTTACTCACTCAGTCTCAACGTCAGTAATAAGTAAAGCTTACTTATTTATATTTTCTATCACTTAAAATAATATTAATCAATTTCTAGTGCAAAACCCTAATAACATACAAACAATGCTAAGACTCAGAGTTTGTACACTCACTGACTCAATACTAATAGTAATACTATTACTAGAATAAAACTATTACAATTTCGTCCTTTGTTGTGTCAACTTTTAGTTTTACAAATTACAGTATTACAAATATGATAATATAAGATATTAACAATAAAAAAACCTTAGGGTAACAGAGGTGAAAATAGCTTGTAGTTAAATTGTAACCTACCGCAATATTTTTAAATGTATAATTTCATTTTCGGGAATGCATATTTAGACGGTGCTTATTATTTTGATTTGAAAAAGTAGTAACTGACAAGATCAAGCATGTGATACAGATATATATATATATATATATATATTTGCGTGAAACATTACAAATTATGGCATTACACGAGGCCGAGCAACTTTTTAAAGAAGCTAACAATTAAATATGAATATGAAATACAAAATTAAGAGAGAGGAATAAAATTTCACACCTAACTGCTTCAATACGCGTGTTTTATTAATGCCATTAAAATTGAGATACGTTCTTGATCCCTTAGGAGTTAATAATTTACTTTCACAGATCAAAATTAAAATTGATATTTCTGATTTACAACATAGGTTTGTCATCACTGTTATATCAAGTGTTTGCTATCCCCTTGAAAAAATAAATAATCGCAAAATGATCAGTCATGTATTAGCATTAGTTACCCAAGGAAAACTTGATGTTATAGTTTAAGTACATAATATGATATTTTCTCAGACTGAAACAGAAATCACAGAAATTTGCAACTTATACAGATTTACAGAGAAGGAAAATTTGATGTTATAGTTTAACTACATATTATTGTTAGGTCTCTGTTCGTTTGTTAATTTCCCATAGAAATTCTTTCTGAGAAACTTCAGCAATACAAGTCCTTTCTTAACTAAAACTAGGTTATTATTTCTCGATACAACTTTATATTACACAGAATTTCCACAGTCAATACGTTTGCAATCTCGATAACAAAACACACACTTTATATTACCGTCACTACCGTTCACTTGACTCAATTCTCTGTCTCTATCTCTGTCTATCTGCAATTTTTCTATCTCTGCTTTATTTGCCGGGCTTATATACTAAAATAGAGGGCGCCTAGAAAAGACTAGAGCTGCCAGAAAAAGTTATGATCCTTCTAGAAACTCATGAAGTGTTACCAGCGTCACGTGACTTCCGCTGTCATAAGAATATTGTTACATCTCTGGTCGTTAGTTAATTTTCCGTAAAAATTCTTTCCGAAGAAACTTTAGCGATACAAGTCTTTTCTTAAATAAAACTGGGTTATTCTTTCTGAATACAACTTTGCAATACACTTAATTTCCACAGTCACGCTAAAACAAACACTATAATTCACAACTAACGACTCACGTGCTCAACTCAACAATACGTCTCTCTCTGTCCGCAGTTCAATTACATTGTTGCCGTCACTTCTTACCGGTCTTATATATACAAGAATACCGAAGTCTAGTAAACGCTCGAGCATTCACGAACCTTCGAGAATATGACGTGTTACTAGCGTCACGTGACCCCCGCTGTCAAGTGTTGCCCCTTCCTTAGTATTGTTCGTCCCGAACAATAGCCACTTACATTAAACCAATAAACAATTAACAATAATTTAATTGAATGTACAGAATTTACAAACAAAAAATTACAATTCAACAAAGTCTCTAAATTTTACGGGACTTATCTTCTTCCGTACTGGTCTCCCTCTCGTTGGCTTCTGCTTCATGTGGGGTTTATCTGCTCCATCAGGAAATATTCCATTATCGGTAACAGTCACACAGTGGTAGTAGCTTCATTAATGGCTTCACCGTTTCCCTTCTCTAAACCAGGTAGAGTTTCTTCTTCGACAGTGGCTTTTTCAGGTGACATGTCTTCAACGGCGTCATTTGTTCCATTGTTCACTTCAACCCAACTGAAATGTCCTGGACCATGATAACACCAAAGCCTGTTGTCATGCACCACCTTTGGTTTACCTCGCCGACCACATTTAATTCGAAAAGTCACGTCTGAGAGACCGTCCACTATGTCATATGGGCCTTCCCATGGAGATGACAAGTTAGGAGACTTCCCTTTGGTCTTCCTGGGATTATACAACCAAACCTTGTCTCCTAGTACAAAACTGACTTCAGTAGATCTCTTATCATAACATAGCTTCATCGAATCAGCAGACGTTTTCAAGTTTGAACGCACTTGATGGTGAATATCATCTATCCTTTCCGATAACACTTTCACGAACTCTGACACATTTTCAGGCAACTCTTCGTAAGGTGGGCGTCCTGTTATCAGATCCACTGGCAACCGAAGCTCCTGACCAAACATCAACTTTGCTGGAGTGTATCCAGTGGCTTCATGCTCTGCTGTTCTATAAGCCATCAACAGTAGAGGGAGTAAGACATCCCAGTCATCTTGGCGGCTATTTCAAAACTTTGCCAATTCCTGTCCCAGTGTCCAATTGTAAGTTTCTACCATCCCATCAGACTGTGGATGAAGTGGCATTGTCCTGGTCTTTCGTATGACAAACAACTTGCAGCATTCCTGGAACACAGCTGATTCAAAGTTACTGCCTTGATCTGAATGCAGTTTGTATGGCATACCAAACCTGAAGAAGAAATCACCAATAGCTGAAGCTACAGTTGTAGCTTCCTGATTTGGTATTGCATATGCCTCAAGCCACTTGGTGAAATAATCCATCACCACACAAATGTACTTGTTTCCAGCACGAGTTTGGGGCAAATGACCAGCAATGTCAATGTCTACTCTTTCCATTGGTGCGCCAACTTGATATAAATTCATTGGAGCACGTCCCTTATGCTTGGGTCCCCTTTTAGCACAACATGTATTGCAGGTCCTGCACCATTCTTCCACATCTTGCCTCATACCTATCCAGTAAAATCTCTGTCGTAGGTGACTCAGTGTCTTCTTAACTCCGAGCTGTCCTCCTGTTAAACTATCATGGGATTGATGCAGCACAACTTCCCGTAACTTTCTCGGTATAAGTGTTTACCAGGTCGTCACTTTCCCATCTCCAGACAAGAAT